TTCGAATCTGGCCTTCTAAGGATGCGTCCTAGGTTTTCGAACAGAGCAACTGTGTCCGAAGTAATTTCGCTTCAACGCCCAGAAATACAGACACATCATTGGTTACAAGTCCAGTGGTTTCTCGGTTGGCTCTCTTTACACACGTGATTTTTGCTACACTTCTGCCGTGTGAGATGCACAAATGCGTAAAAGGATTTGTATCTGTAATATCTGAATTTGCTGCCGTGGGCGCAGGTTCGCAGGCTGCCTCTTCCTGCTGAGGGAGTTCAGCACAACTGGCTGCACCTACACCCACATACCACCAGTTAGCGGTATTGTATTGTACGTGACATTACTGGGGTTTTAGGGGTTGTACCTGCAAAGTTGAGCGCAATGGAATACCGTCAGCTTACTGTAAGTATATTTCTTTTTGTTTTCATTAGTTTGCATCGGTAATATTGTTTAAGCTTTCTAAAAATGTAGCATTATCGACATATGTGAACAAATTCCGTAGCTGGGCAAATTAGTTTAAATGGAATTCGCTAGCTAACCCGATGGAGCTAGCTTAGATGAACGCAACATATTTAGCAGCCCTTGATTACTGTGCACAGCTGAAAGTCAGAACGTAACACCATTGAGCGGTAACATGAAGGTAAAACATTTTGGTTATTATTTAGGATAAATAAGGTCGAACCCTACAGCGTTTGTCATAAAGCTTGAGCAACACAAAAACAATGAAAGATAATGAACAACAGCATGGGGTGGTTACCCGTTTTGTTAAAATTTCTCCATGCGGTACCAATTCAGAAGCTGAATTGGTGTAACTGTGTGAAGGTGCCAATTTTCCTTAAGACTGTTTACCTTACTTAACCCACTGAGTTTTAAACTATCAGCTATGTGTAACTGTCTAGGCTTTAAATGTGTTGTACAGGTTAAACATATTGTGTGAGATGTTCTGTAGGATCAGGGTGCCGGCTCAGAGAAGAATGTGGAGTCTGTGGCCAGAAATCTGATCACACTCATCCAGCAAAGTCTTGATGCAGGCAGTAGTCAGACAGGAGCTCCTGCTAACCTCTTGCCAAGAGCAGCCACTGCCCTCAATCCTCCACCCACCACAGCTGGTTTCTTCAGTCCCCCAACCAGAACAGCCACCAGTCTGCAAAAATCCGTTTCATCAGAAATGCAAAGGTAGTTTAATATTTTAATTAATGTGCTGTAAATATGCCAGGCTAAATTTACAATGTTAGTGCAGTGTGTTGCATTGGAGCAGATTTGCAGAGTTTTATCAGTGAGTTAAACAGAATAGGAAACATACATGATAATGACACAGAGTAGTTGTAACTATCCTTTATTGTGTATCATAGATCTTTTCCAGGTATTTTTAGGGGAAAACGGAGGTTTCTTTTTCTTTTTTTAAATTCTACTGAAGATGGCAAGCTAAGACCTCTACCTGTGCGGTAGGATACAGACTCTCTCTTTCCTATAAGGATAAAAACTATCGTTATGCTCTCAACCCTGGAATACCGTAGCGTATGGACTTTGAGCTTATGAACACTAAACAAACTAACCTAACTGAACTTTGGGGACAATCATTCAAATTCTGTCGTTTTGTTATTAATGTTTGTGTGTTTTTTTTTTTTTGTCTTTGGCCACTTTAATACAATACTAGTTAAACCTTATTTTTGTCTCTGTGATTATTCACACCTCGGGCTCCTCAACGAACCCTCTTCTGATAACACCTTACTACAACATCAACGTCATTTCCTTATCATTAGCCTTTAACAAGCGTTACACCAGTGCTAACATGACACTGTCTGAATTTATTCTTTCTTCACACTTGTCATATCACTAGAAAACATGTGTAACAACTAAAAGCATAGCAGGCCAAAACATATAACCTGTCAGCAATGCAGAAAAAAAAAAAAAAATATTGATCTTATTGTGATAAGTTATTTCGTTTTGGATTGGTTATTACGTTATTATTAGTTCCTGCTATAACATTTGACATGATATGTGAGGCCAAGGATGAGATAATCAGCCCAAAAGGCAATAACCTATTAGATTACTGGCGAAATGTGAGGTTACTAGCTCAAACATTGTATTACATTGCTGGCAAGTTATTATGGTTTTGTTTGCTACCCATGTGTTCACTGTTGACTGAGATTTTTGTGTTTCAGGGGGAAGTGGTCAAAGAAAACTCACAGTCATAAGACCTCAGGTGGAAGGCTACACTACCCTACAACTTAAGAGGGCATCGAATAATAGGAAAAATGTGTTATACATTACCCCATTACAGGGTGAATTAGATGTTACTCCCCTTTCCAAAAATGCCTCAGAATTTTCAAAAATGCCAAAGGCCACTTGTGAGAACTGTCAGGAGACGATGCCGCTCCATCTTTTGGCCCTTCATGTTGACAGTTGCAAAGACAACCAAGACTGTGAAGTAAGTTGGTTTATTACTTTTTTACTCATCATTTTGCGAAATATTAGGAAACCTTTTTTGTGGTATTTATTTATCTTTTGGTATGACCAGGGGGGTGACTCAGATGTTGAGTGTGTTTCTGTCAGTAACTCTTCAACTGATGAAACAGACCCCATTGGAAAATCCACATCCAATGATGATGTAAGCCTATCTTTATTTGAAATTAGCTTTAATATTCCATGGTATGAATATCTTTTTCTTATCTATTTTTTCCATTATTGTTGTTATTATTAATTCTATTTCTTTATTTTATAAGGTAATGTTGTTATTAGTAATGCCGTGCATGAAGGTCTGTTATTGCCCATTTTTAAATGTATCTATATATCTCAGTATGGGCGTGCTATTTGCATAGTGGGTAGCGTGACCCATGTTTGGAAGCCTTTAGTCCTCGACGCGGACGACCCAGATTGAAGTCCGACCTGTGGTCCTTTACCACATGTCTCTCCCCCTCTTCCGCCTTCTCCCTGTCAGCCTACTGTCAATAAAAGCGAGCCACTAGAGCCGCGCAAACATTTT